ATGTGTATGAGTGTATTTTCTGCATGTATGCAAGTGCACCCCTGTCATGCAATGCCCACAGAGGTCAGATGAAGGCATCAGATTTCCTTATAACTGGAGTTACAGTTATTAGCCTCCATGTGGGTGCTGGAAATTGAACCCATGCCTCTCACAAGAGCAACCAGTGCTATTAACCATTGAACAATCTCTCCAGTCCCCATGTTTTCATCTTTAAAATCCGTGGAGATTAGAACTTGAGAATCGAGATGGCAGTGAAAAGATTCTGGGGATTCAACTCAGGTTGCCAAAGAGAAGGTTCTATAGTATCTATCATGTTCTATCATGTTTTAACCTGCCAGACTCCAATAGCACCACAGGAAAAACTTCTCTGAGGCCTTCTATGTTTAAGACCCCAGAAATGATTCTATTTTTCTAAATGTATTCAGGATTATAAAGCACCAGAACTTATTTGGGCAGCGAATCAACATCATTTACTTCAAGGCATACTTATCCCTTTGAAAATGTACCATGGATAATTTTACTCTGAAGTAAAAAAAAAAAAAAATCAAGAAAAAGTGGGGCTAATAAAGTTGGTAATAAAAATTTTGATAATGAGTGACTTCGAGGATTTGGGGCAGTTATTAATTGCATATTGATATATAACATACATTAATCATAATGTTGATGTATAAACATTTACATAAATATTATTTTAGAATTAACCAGAATAGCACTCCAATAGAAAACTGAAATGCAAATGTTCTGTATGTGCACTGTCCAATTTGGTTGCCATAGCCACATGTGGCTACTAAAAACTTAAAATGTGGCTAATGTGATTTTGAAACTTAATTTTACATTGAATTAATTTACAATCAGGTTTTGGTAGTATGTAGCCAGTGGCTAGCAACTTGAAGAGTATGGAACATCTTCGCCATCCTAGAAATTCCCACCTGCTCTTCCAGTAAATCCCACCCCACTGCTGCTGCCATCATAGAGAAACTGTTTTTTCTGTACTCAGGCTTCATGTAAGTGGATTCAGACATCGTGTACTTTGTTTTTGGCTACTTTGGTTGAACATAATGATGCTGAGATTTATTCATGTTGTTTTCTGTGTCAATAGTCTTTCAGATGCTCAGTAGCCTTACATTGTATCACAATTTGCTTACCTATCCTCTAGCTGATAGACATTTGACATTGGTTGTTTCCAGGTATTTGGTTTTAATGCTGTAAATATTATATTTGATGCTTTGAATTAATTGAAGATCTCTATGTATATATTAAAGTTTACTTTGGTCTTGAACAAAGGTAGTTAAGTTATGATTCTATTATCATCTTTCTGTGCAGAGGTGAACCTCTTATTTTTATAAGACTAGACATACTCCAGAACGACTGAATAATCAGCTGGTTTGTACTTAATGGAAACAATGGCTGGGTATGGTGGTGCATTCCTGTAAACCCAGTATGCAGGAGGCAGAGGCAGATGGATCTCTGCAAAATCAGCCCATCAACCAACCAACCAAGCAAGCAAAAAACAAACAACCACAAAACCCCCATCAACTCAGAATTAGAAAATTTACCCAGTTATTGCATTGATTTAAAAATCAATATACACTTTCTATGGGTGCTGGTCTAAAATACATTCTATGGAGTGTTCCATCGGACAATTGCAAATTATGTCCATATTTTGTTTGCTTTGGTACTGGAGAATGAATCCCAGTCCCTATGAAGTTTTTGAATTACTTTGACCTCTATCTATCACTGTCTTGCCACTGTTGATAATTATAACATACTACAGAATTCCAGATCCAGAAAAGACATTTAACAATCTAGTAGTCTAGTCACCAGCCACCAGTACTTTGCATATAGTAAGTGCTTAATAAACACTGGCAAACAAACATTCATTCACATATGCCAACTGAAAAAAATATAATCATATGAAAGATTTTAAATCAGGTGTAATTCCTGCTTTAATAAAGAATTCATTGCAAATTTAATGGTGAGCTGCCACAGCATATATTTTTCAAAACTCTAATATGTAATTTTTTGAAAGCAATGTTATGACATATCAGTATTTGTTTTTCATATACATTTTTTTTAAGCATTAACACTGAAATTTCTTATTAGTCCTTTTCAACAGGAGGAAAAACCCTAATAGGTGATACTGAAAAGGAAATTCACCCTTAAGAACATGCTCAAGTAATTTTTAAAGTACTTTTCTTCAAGTGGTTTAGATATGTGCTGACCTGTTTTTCCCAATCACCCCGACCTCAGAATAGAAACCATCCAAGTCCAAAGGATACAATTAACAATTGAAATTCACAGAAAAATTGACTTTGAGCATTTTACACAGTAATTATATCTGCCTGATTTTTGTACTCAGCAAATAATTGTATTGATAGTTGATTGAATTTATCATTTTTTCCCCCCGATCAGGTAATCTTTTCTTGAGCTTTGATTATGTTTTGCACTGTAATAGGCATTAACTGCTAAGAGTTGTTGACCACTGTTGGGTGCTTCCTATGACTCCTAGCAAGATTTTTTCTGAAATATACACACAATACATACAAAGATACATTATACAGCTTTAAAAAATAACCCCAAAAGAGAGATCTTATCAGGACTATAGGCAGAAGGATTTGCTTTTAAAAAATAATTATAAACACAAGCATATATAATCTATCATGTTTTGGTTTTTATAACTTGGATTGGTAGCATGGTTATTTGAACTACTATGATGGTAACACTGAAAAATACTTATTCACCTTACTAATTATTATACAGGAAAATAATCTTGGCAAGAATCCCCCAAAGAAATGCATGCATTCCTAACTCAAGAAAAGGAGAAACTACGAAATGGGAATATGGAAGTCTCTAAATTGCTTGAAACTGATGTTATAATGTCCTAAGGACAAAGGTCACACTTTTTCTAAAGACCAGTGCCTCAAAGTATCTATTTATACCCTTGAGACAGTTTTGTACAAGCTTCATTATGTGGTTTTCTTGCCTGCAGATTAAAAGCAGTAAATTAAAAGGGTGGGGAGGATAATAGAACTGTGTTCAGTGACTGCAGAAAGCAGCAACAGCTGACAGTGGGGAGACAGGCAAACTGTAACAGACAATAGAACTAAAAAAGCAAAGCTATTCAAAGCCATGTAGTGTGAGCAATGGCCCTAACCACCACGGCAGAAATAGAGGGCTTTATCTGTCAATGCTGTAAAATGAATATTCTAAAAGTGAAGAGTTTTAACTACTGTGGTCAGCACGCTGTCAGTTTTGTCTAACACCACAGTGGGTCACGAAGCCTTTTAACTTCGGCACTGTGCGCATCACTGTTAACTCCTGTACTGTAACTCCTTATTAAGACCATAACATGCAGTTATTGAAGTCAACAGTATTACTCTTAAATCTCTTGTTCTAATAGTTGGTTCCTCAAACGTCTTTACACAGTATTTCATGACATGGAGGCAAAATAAAAAGACGTCTTGTTACCTCTAAAAGGAGAATATTACCTATTAGTACAGTTGTATTAAATGAGGTAAAGTATGTAAAACACTTAGCGAAAGGTCTGGGGCAAAGAAAAGGAGCTATTTTATTTTAGCACTGAACACATGCCAGACCAAATCCTTATTTGCAGGTGCAGAAATTTAGCGTCAAGAGAACTGACTTCCCAAGGCTCTACTTCCAATGTTATTGTCTTGGATAAGCTGCTTAGCTGCGAATGTTGGAGATTTAGGGTATTGGCGGGCCCGGGGGCACGTGCCTGCTGGACTCCAGTGTGTAGAGAATTGGACGAATATGCTTGAACCAGGAGGTATTAGCTGTGCCTTTATCAACGGGTGTTAGAGGTGGCAGGTTGTGTGCTAACATCCTTCACTAACGGAAGCCATTCGTCTGCCTCGATTTAGTCAGAAAGAGCAAGACCCTCTGCTACCAAGGCTGTCATAGGATACTGGGTGGAACGCAAAAGCACGCCGACAACTTTACAGAGGGACTAGCACCCTCCTCTTGGGAACTCTCGGAGGGCGTCTCGAGCAGATTTAACCCAACCCGGTACGGCCCCGGCGAGGGCGCTCGCTCTGGGACCGCATCCCCCAAGAAGGGAAGTGCTCGTTCCTCAGCAGCACTTCCTCGCAGTCCGGAGGTAGGGAGTGCTGACTTGGCCTCACGGCTCCGCAGAGGTTGGCTCCCCGCACCTCGGCCCTCGGGACGGCCCGTTCCCCCGAACCCCCGGTTCGCCTTCCCTAAGATGGCGGCGCAGGCAGCGCTCACGCCCCGCCGCCCGCGCTCTCGGAGCCGCGGCCTTCTAAGGAGGCGGGAGAAGGCGAGCGCGCGGACCCCTGAGGGGCGAGGGCGACCGGGAAGCTCCAGGCCCAGCGCGGGCCGCAGAGTGTGGAGAAAAAGATCGCCTGCCAAGCGCAGGCGACCGGGGAACACCACCGACGCCACACAGAGAAGGGAAAAAAAGGGGGGAGAGGGGGAGGGGAGAAGCGGGCGGTAGCTGCACATCCGGGCCCTGCTCTAGGCCAGCCCCGGAAATGTCGTCGAAGCCTCGGGGCGGAGCCTGCTCTTCAAAGTACACTCTGCCCCCGCAGTCGCGCGCGTCCCCCTTCAGTGCTTGGCCGCGCCGTTTCTCCCCTCCCCTGACTTAGCGGTTCCCCTCTCCGAGCTCCGCGCCCTGTGGACCCAAAGCTGGGCGGCGGGGCTCCGTGGGCCGCGTGTCTCTGAACGTAGCGCTGGCTTCGTGACCCTCTTCTGCCCTCGGCTGCCCGGCGTTCCTAGTAGCGTTCCTCTCAGAGGACTCGCGCTGACCTCGGCCCTGCCGAGTCTGTCTAAGCGCTCCCCGGGAGCCAACCTCGAAATCCCGTCCGCGGCCCCCGCCCGGACTCCAAGCTGTCAGTCAGGGCGCCGAGCCCGCTCCTTCCGGCGCTCTCAGGCCCGCCCTCACCCCTCCTCCCTCCCCCGCCCCTCCCCGCGCGAGTGTCTCCCTCTCCCTCGCTCCCTCTCTCCCTCTCTCTCTCTTTTGTGAGTTATAGCAACCGTTGCCTTGTGAATCAAGCGCCATAGTCACCGTAGTCCTGGCGACTGTTACCCATCAACAACAACTACTCCTCTCCTCCTCCTCCTCCTCCTCCTCTTCCTCCTCCTCCTCCCCACCACCACCATCTCCATCACCCACCAACAACACCACAATAATCCACAGCCAAGGTGAATATTCTTCGGTCTCTACATGTGTGTGGGAGCGTGTGGACGCGTGTGTCCGTGCGTGTGTTCGTGTGTGAGAGCGAGCGTGGCTGTGCGGGTCTCCCTGCTGACACCGGCTGCGGCCGCTCGAGGGGCTCGGTCCCCGGGGCTTGTTTACAATGGCCCCGCGCGCCGGCGGGCTCGGGGGTGTGGGCGCCGCGCGCCTGCCCGCCCGGCCTGGGCGCTCAGGGATGGAGCGGGAGCCGGGGCTGCAGCTGCCCCGGGCTGCGGGCGCGCGGCAGGCTCAGGTGGAGAGCAGCCGTTCTTTCTCTGGCTCTTGAATTCTCTCTGCGAGCGGCTTGCTGGCTGCCTCTTTGAAGATGGAGAGACCGCAGTGAGCGGGGTACCCCAGAGGTGCCGCGGTGCTGCTGTGCCGCACTTGTGGGGCCTTGTTTGGGGTTTTGTTATTTTTATCCTCGTCCGGGCTGCGGGCGCGCGGCAGGCTCAGGTGGAGAGCAGCCGTTCTTTCTCTGGCTCTTGAATTCTCTCTGCGAGCGGCTTGCTGGCTGCCTCTTTGAAGATGGAGAGACCGCAGTGAGCGGGGTACCCCAGAGGTGCCGCGGTGCTGCTGTGCCGCACTTGTGGGGCCTTGTTTGGGGTTTTGTTATTTTTATCCTCGTCCATCGGTGAACTTTTCCCACAGCCCGGTCCCTTCGTTTTTGCCCCTCTCCGCCTTCTCTAAACGGGTTGCACTTCTTTGACCATCAGCAGCCTCACTGTGTTCTTTTTTTCTTTGAAAACTGTATTTTTCTTTGTGCTGCAAACAGTCTTAATATCCATTCAGCACTCTTCCCTCCCCCCTCCCCCCTCCCTTTGCACACACATTGAAACCAGGGGCCTCTGCATTGGGCTCTGTTGCTCTGAGAGATTCTCTCTCTCTCTCTCTCTCTCTCTCTCTCTCTCTCTCTCTCTCTCTCTCTCCTTTTCGGGGTGTGTGTGCGCTTGTGATTTAAACCGGATGCAGGGCATTTGTGATACTTGGGTTAGTAGTTATTGACAGTGCTTTATCCTTCATGTGCAGATGGGAGGGGTAGTCCTGAGGTTCCATTTCACTTTGATGCACCTCCCTCCCCACAGGAGAGTGCTAACAATTTTCATTGTGGTTTTGAGACTCTCTGTGTGATGAACCGGGAAGGACACAAGGAAGCTTTGTGAGAACTCGGTTCATAACGTTATTTGTGACAGTTATGGTACTTTGAGAGTTTTTTTTTCTTTTTTTTTCTTCTGCATCTCTGTTCCTTTCCCTTTGAGAGTTGAAATTGAAGTCAACTTGTTCATAAAGAATGTATGAAGCTTCTCAACTTGAAACGTGTGTATATTTCACTTTCTTTGTGGTTGTTAAGATCTAGGCATGTGTGTCCTTAACCATATTCTTTGTGTTTACTTTTTTTGGGGGCAATGACTTAAACCTGCTCAGAAGACAGAACTTCCTTTAAAAGTATTTCTTTTGAGAAAATAGTGGGGTTTCTCTTCTGTAGATTTACTTACCCAGCTCTCAAGTAGTATCCTTGATTACAGCTATCCTGGTTTTACAGATCCTTAATTTTGTTCATTTTTCAATCTAACTTTTAATTAATAGATTATCAGTAAAGAAAATACGGTAATGAACGAGTGCTGGAACAGATAAGCTATATTATTATAGTTGCACATATTGAAGTTTCTAATTCAGATTTTAAAAGTACCTATTTAAATAACCTTTCTAAACTCAAACATTTATTGATTTAACTGACAGAACAGCCTGTGAATAATGTGACAGTATTAATTATTCTTGAGATTGTCAATGAGCAGCTTGGGTAATTACACTGCCATTAAAGCTGATATTTTGTAAAATAAGAGTTGAAAAAGAAACTTACCTTTTAATTCATTTCCTTATGCTTGCTGTTTGATGTGAAGGTGACACCTGGTTCTGAAAGAAGTCTTCTCAGAGCTCTGAGACTTCTGTACAGTTCTACACATCCCTTTTCAACCTGTCTTTCATGCACATCTGTAATACTAACTTGTATATATATAATATATAGATATATTTTTTCTGTTTAGATGAGTGTCAAATGCCTGAATGCTTTTGGATGGTGAAGCTTCTGGGTCCTATAACTCTGTCTGAAGTTAATAGGAGTTTTGCTGTCTTGGGACAATTTTAGATCTCACGCCATTTCCATAAATCATATTTAGTTAATAGATTGTATATGCTAAAGTTTCATAGCTTGATATTTTTATTGGAAGTGTCCAAGAATGTTCTAGAAGCATTTCACTCATCATCCATATATCAGGTTTCCCCAAATTTAGATTTTTTTTATTGAATTATATTGCCTGTCCATTTAAAACATGACAAATGTATGTGCTAAGAGTTGATGTTGGCAGTACTTTGAGTTCTAATAAGATAAAATTATTATGGATTAAATTATGGCAGATTTATAACAGATGATCTTTAAAATTAAATACAAGGTTAAATACCGGCATTTAGCTCATTTTTTCTGTAATATTTTTCTAGGAGGGACTATATTATGCATTGGCATTCTTTGCTTTCAGTTTTTTAGATTAACAGAAATCTGTCAAAGTGATCATGCTTTGAAACCAAAAGTATTAAGTAGTGCCTTAATTCAGGTAGCTGAATTTTTGTAGTCTGTGTATTATAATGCCTGTCTCAATGTTTTTAGGTTGTACCTCATCCGAATTATATTAAAGACTATAGGGGACATACATAGTAAATTTAGATGTGTATGGTAAAATAATGCATTCCCAGAAGTTTTATATTATTTTACAATGTTTTCTAAGTATGTAGTAGTTATACCTAATTTCTAAAATACTGTAGTGTTATTCTAGTATTCAAACAGTCATGTATTCCATGGAGATACTCAAGAGATTTATAGTATATAAGCGAGATATACTTTAACCTTAAGAAAACAGTCATTTTTTTCAACTCTAAATTTTTGTGTGATTTTTTTAACCATTAAAAAGTAAAAATTAAAAATGAATGAATCTTAAATCAAGATAGACTCTGTCCGTTGTTTCAAATAATGGTCATATGTTACTTTGGGATGACATTTTAAAATTTCTTTTCAAAGTTAATATTCTGTGTATATTTTTCTAAACTTCCAACTAAAGAAACATTTCAGGCTTTTAAGTCTGGTGTGTGTGTGTGTGTGTGTGTGTGTGTGTGTGTGTGTGTCACACACATGGAGGTCAGAGGAAATCCCTGGATGTCAGTCCTCAAAAATAATCTTTTTTTTTTCTAAATAATCTAATAGAAATGTGACTATGAATTCCCATAGTGAAAATGTTACCAAAAATGAGAATAACAAGTGACGTTTTAAAGTATAATGTCTACTTGCTATTTGTTGGTTTTGTGTTTGTGTTTGTGTTTGTGTGTGTGTGTGTGTGTTGTGTGTGCACGCCAAACATTTGACTATATATCCTTTATTCACTTTCAATTACTGTAAAATAGTTTCCCTTTCTAAATCATTTTCCTTTAAATCTTTAACTCGTTGGTATATATTCCCAGTTGCCATCACAAAGTGGATTTAAAAGTCTTTTCTGTTCACAGGTGCATAGTGTTCCCATATTTTGGAAATCCAAGATTAAGTAGATTTGACTAAATTTAGCTTGTTAGAGACAGATGGCTGCTTTAAACAGGTGTCACTTTCACTTTTTTACTTCATAGTGTTAGGACTTCCAGTGGTTCACAGAGGTGCTGTCTAAAGCAGGTGGCATCCTTTGAGTTTGCTGCATGATCTTTTAGAGTTAATTATTTTCCTAGGAAGAAGGTTCTTTTTACATGTAAAAGTTTTTAACTATGAGTCTTTGTAGTACTCTAGATTTGTAATTTAACTCATATAACTTTTATTTCTGAATATCAAACTGTAGAAATTTTCAAACTGTAGAAATTATAGATTTGTGTATAAAACACCTATCAGTTCTTACAAATGATAAAGTAGCTTTGAATTCAAAGAAAGTATATAGGAATACTTTATATATTCAAGTCAAATTTATCTAAAGAAAAATCTGGGATGGACTTAAAGTACTATTTAGTTAGCATGACAAGTAAATTTTTTCCATTCTATACTTCAAAATTTTATTGATAGCATTATTTCAATTAAGCACATCCTAGAGACCAGTTTTCCTTTTGTTGGTTCAATATTTTAAAACTAAAATAACTTTTCTGTCTTACAGCTGCTATAAAATTTATAGTGATCCCTTAAAATGAAAATTGTTTTTGTTTAAACATGTTAAATATATGTACTAGTATAAATAAAAATGTACCAGCCTGTTGATTTCTAAGGTTTATTTTTGGTCTATGATTTTATTTTTTCCCTAGGAGTTTTATATACCTTATAATAGATACACCAGAGGGTGCTGTGCTGTTTGTAATATAAGATTATTATCATTGAAAGTGTGAATTGATTAGAACTTTTATTTAAAGAAAATGTTAGTTAGCTATGCATGCAAGCATATAATCTTACTTCTTTGAAGTTTAACATTTAATGTGCCACCTTACTTGGCAATTTCATATGAAAGCCTATCTTTCTGTTGACATACTGCAACAGTATCATATATCTTTGGCATAAACTAGTAAAGAACTATTGAGGTGATCCCTGACAATGTAGCCTTGACATAGTCTGATGTTAACATTTAGTCCAATAGTCATGTACTTTGATCATGTTCTGATGGTATTTCAATTTTATCTCTTAGTTGAACTTGAGAATGGATAGTATCTGGCAATATGACTTTCTACTCCTGAATTTACTATTGCTTGCACATACCAATATATCATACTTTTTTTTGCATTTCCTTATAGCATAGTTAGTGTTAGTGCTTATGACATAACCATAAAATAAAAAACCTGGAAATTATAAGTGTTATATTAATTATCAAGCTTATTAGTAGTAATACACATTAACATTTACCTAGATAATTCAGTTCCTATTTTGTGCTATTAGAGTAGTTTGGTTTGGCTTCTAACTTATCAG